TAAAATGATGCGTGTTACGGGAGAAATGAAGACATTTTGCTGATCAAAACCTTTATATATATAATATAATATATATAATATATCATTAATTTCACTGTGTTTTTTGGGTACATTTGTTTTACTTAACTTATGAACTTGTTTGAATTATTATTTTCGGCCATTTTGGACTCCCGTGTCTCTTGGTTGTTCGTTGTCAGTTTTTTGCTCCAGAAACCTATAAAATAGAAGGTAATTGTAATTATTATAATTATTGTTGTTAGAACGACATTGGTCGTCTATTTGTGATAAACACATTTTGGTCGATTAATTGGACAATTGGAATAAACTTTGGTATCTCACTTTGGAATTTCCTTTTGGTTTAATATTGGGATCGTGAATTGCAGATAGATCGACAACTGTGCTTCTGAGGATCAAAGAGCAAAAAACTGGACGTAACAATGCGTTTGTAAGCCTACTCGTGTCACAGTTTGGATCGACATTCACCGAAGAAGATAAGGGATCCACCAATCCTTCTGAGAGTCGAAGTGTCGTGCCGTAAATGAGTTCGGATACAGTGGATCCAACCTCAGCTTTCACTGTATGGCGAACTTCGAGCAACGCGAGTGGAAGAGCCCTAGTCCACTGTGATACGTTCGCAGCTGAAAGTGGGCCTTTCAACTGTTGGTGGAATCGTTCTACCAAATCACTAGCTTATGGATGGTAGGGGATAATTTGGAATTGTGTGATTCCCGGGAGTGTGGTAGGACAGATTAAAAGTCCAGATTCAAATCGGTGTCCGCGGTCTTAAGTAGTGGTCGGGAGTCAGCCGAAAGTCGCTACCTATCGTCCGATGAAGGCGTGGACCACTGTTTCGACAGTAAGGTTTGTGACAAGTAATGCTTCTGACTATCATGTGAAACAGTCCACACACATTAAGAGATAAGCGCATCTTTTTCAATCTCATAAGTGTTTTATCAAATTAAGATGAATTTGCTTAAGGCGAGTGTCAGGGATGGATTATACACACGAGGTTATTTACGAGCAGAGTAAGTTGAAGCCTGGTTAGCAAGTTTCCTTAGTCTATGGCCGGAGACACAAGTTTTGAGAAGTCAACCGCAAGACGCATTCAGGAAACTTTGAGACCAGAACAGAACAAGAGAAGGTAGACCATTTCCTACTTGGATTAGAGAACAGGCAAATGGATTGTAAAAGACTATGTGTATGTATTTCGTAGACAATCTTTTTTCTCTAAATTTATAGATATTATTCACCTGGACTTGTTTCATTCGTATACAACAATAATGTTACTTGGGTTTTGTTTCGTTTTGAGTCAACCGAGGCGTTTTTCCAATCAAATAAACCTTGATGCTGAGGTTCCCGGTGGTCTTTATAGTCTGATCAGCAAATTAACTATCTTGAAATGAGTTGAGAACAACTTGGACCTATTAGATAAGCTTAGGTAGAGTGTCATCTGAAGAGGCTTCCGTCAAATGTTCGTTGGCCAGCCACTTAACTCATAAGTAGCAACATTTGTTTTGGTACTTACTGTTGTGAGGAGCTGACCTATTCTTCCTTAATCGGTCAGGTTTCTACATTCGGGAATCTCCTATTTGGCGTGTAATAAGCCTCGGTAGTATCACTAGCAGTCATATTATTTGTAAAATCCCTGGTGAAGTCACGCATTAGTGCCTTCACCACTTCAAAGAATCCAGCACGTTGGTCTATCGCGTACTCGTGGAAGTCAGCCTCTGAATAGCAGAACCAGATTTTGATGTTTCAGGCCAGAATGGAACGTGTTGAAAGTTGTTGAGTGCGAGAGTCCTAATATTAAGCAGCTTAGGTATATGTTTCGACTATAAGAATAAATTATATGTACACCAGCGAAAACATTGAAACAACAATAACACGATGTGTAAAAATATAT